GTTATCTTGGAGTCTTTCGCCCGACAGGCCCTTGAACTCATGCGGCTGTGCAAGGCCTTCACTGAGGGTGCAGGCCTGCCAGAAGCAAAGGGAGACTTCAGAACCCTGCCAGAGACAGCCTGGAGCTCGCATTGCTCCAGGGACACCGTTCATCAGGCCTTTAAACCTGCGGCAGATCCGAGGGGTGACTTCAGATATCTCCCTCAGTCAGCATGGGCCCACATTTACAAGGGCTTCGAGGATCACCCACGGCCCAACTTCACCATTGCTATCGAAAGCCTTCCACGGGCTGCATGGGAAAAGATACACCATGCTTTCAAGGGTGAAGATTGTGACACTTCCTGCGTTGCAAACACTTTCGGATGCCTTGCCAGCAATGCGTGCGAGGGCTCTCATCAAGTGAAAGCAGGCACAGCAGATGCCGGCCTAGTGGCTTCTCATCCCATGGGTGGGATTGGGCTGGGATTCATGGTGCTTGCTGAGCCAGACCGACAGTGGCAACGAGCCCTCACAGCGATGCCGCAAGGCCCTGCATGCATCGTTGAACACAGCTTGCAGAGAGATGGAGCCAATGACTTTCGCAGCCTTCCAGGCCATGCATGGGCCAAGATCCATGCTGCCTTTCCTGCAAAGAGCCCGGAAGCTGATCTTTGCATGCTGCCAGGTGCAGCGGTGACCGAGACCCCCAACCTTCCAAAGGTTTGGACCATGAATGCCAGTGATGGCCGCTCAGGGCAAAGCCCTCTGCAAGGAGGCCCTTTCCTGTCCGGTACGGGCTTGGGATTCGTTGTGCTCGCAGTGCCAAGCCAGCACATGCGTGGAATCAAGCTATGGGCATCCATTTGCTTGCCACCGGCTCCACGGCATGCCAACAATGGCGATTTCCGAACTTTGCCCAGCGCCAGCTGGCAGAAGCTCTACGCAGACTTCCCCGGCCCATCAAGCACCGCAGCCGCAAATGGCACTGGACATACAGAATTGGGGGCAGCCCCAACCGCTGATGACGGGATGCCACTGTGCTTCATGGCACTGCGCAAAGCAGTGCGCAAGGCAGTTTGCTGCCGACGACGCCTGTGGAGCACATGAAGTTGGCTTTGGTA